AAAAAAAAAAACTTGCTTTCTTGCTAGTGGTATATTTTTGCATATTTTTCAATTGTATATTTTCATATTAGATGTTATAAGTGATCTGTATAACTATGTAAGCGCCGAAACTGGCCTACCTACACCAATTATATCGGACTTTCATTACAATGTTGTAAAGAAAAATGCAGACCGCTTAAATTCGGCTATAATATATGACCGTGATTTTGGTTACAATTATTTTGGTTTCAAAACACTTGAGCGTTCCTATTTACTCAAGTTGAATGGCAAAATTGTTGAACGTCCGCAGCACATGTTAATGCGTGTTTCCATTGGTATTCATGGTGAAGATATTGATGCCGCTATTGAAACTTATAACTTGCTTTCGGAACGCTATTTCACACATGCCTCTCCAACACTCTTTGCTGCTGCCACTCGCCAACCGCAATTGTCATCCTGTTTCCTATTGACTATGGCTGGTGATTCCATTGATGGTATATTTACATCTGCCCACCAATGTGCTTTAATTTCCAAGTCTGCTGGTGGCATTGGACTAAATGTCCATTGCATACGAGCAAAGGGCACAGCAATCGCGGGCACAAATGGCACTTCAAATGGTTTGGTACCAATGTTGCGGGTATTCAATAACGTTGCACGTTACGTAGATCAGGGTGGTGGCAAGCGGCCTGGCGCCTTTGCCATTTACTTGGAACCATGGCATGCAGATATTTTTGAGTTTTTGGATTTGAAGAAGAATACTGGAAAAGAAGAGCACCGAGCCAGAGATTTATTTTATGCTTTGTGGATACCAGATTTATTCATGGAACGTGTGGAAGCTAACGGAGAGTGGTCATTGATGTGTCCACATAAATGTCCTGGCTTACATGAGGTTTGGGGCGAAGAATTCGAAAAATTATATACAAAGTATGAAAAGGAAGGACGCGCTAATAAGACGGTGAAAGCTCAAAGTCTTTGGTTCGCCATCATTGAATCCCAGGTGGAGACCGGTACACCTTATATGTTGTACAAGGATGCCTGTAATAGAAAAAGTAATCAGCAAAATATTGGCACCATTAAATGCAGCAATCTATGCACTGAAATTGTCGAATATTCTGCACCTGATGAGGTGGCTGTATGCAACTTAGCATCAATCGCTTTGAACATGTTTGTCACACCTGAAAAAACTTACGATTTCCAACGGCTCAAGGAAGTCACCAAAACTGTGACACGAAATTTGAATAAAATCATTGAAATAAATCACTACCCATTGCCCGAGGCAAAAAAATCAAACTTTAGACACCGTCCAATCGGGATCGGCGTACAAGGTTTTGCAGACGCTCTTATACTTATGCGCTATCCGTACGAAAGCGAACAAGCATTCCTTTTAAATCAACAGGTTTTCGAAACCATTTATTATGGTGCATTAGAAGCTAGTTGTGAATTGGCTGAGAAATACGGTACCTATGAAACTTATGAAGGCTGTCCAGTTAGCAAGGGAATTCTACAATATGACATGTGGGATAAGAAGCCCACTGAGCTCTGGAACTGGACAGAATTGAAGGAGAAAATTAAACAGCATGGTGTTAGGAATTCCCTCCTGCTTGCACCTATGCCCACCGCTTCAACTGCGCAAATCATGGGCAATAATGAGTCATTCGAACCCTACACTTCTAACATCTACACACGTCGCGTACTCTCTGGCGAATTTCAAGTTGTAAATCATCATTTGCTGCGCGATCTCACTGAGTTGGGTTTGTGGGATGATGACATGAAAAATAAAATTATTACTAGCCGTGGCTCCATACAAGGCATAGAATCCATACCGCAGCACATTCGCGATCTGTACAAAACTGTATGGGAAATCTCGGTTAAAACTTCAATTAAAATGGCAGCAGATCGGGGAGCATTCATCGACCAAAGCCAATCGTTTAACATACATGTCGCAGAGCCAAACTATGGCAAACTAACTTCTATACATTTCTATGGCTGGAAAGCGGGTCTAAAAACAGGAATGTACTACTTACGTACCAAACCTGCTGCAAATGCTATACAATTTACTGTGGACAAGAGTCGCAAAGAAACGAATGGGGAAATAAAAGCTAAACAAACCGAAGAAGCGGCATCTCCCAATCGAAGCCAGAATATGGCAGATATGGTTTGTTCCCTCGAAAATAAGGACGCCTGCATGTCTTGCGGATCGTAAAGTGGATATTTCTATGTTGAAGATGTTTTGTATTTGTTCTCTCGTAATATTTCAAAAATAAATTGTATTGTTAAGCATAAGTTATTAAAACAAAAACTTAATTGTATTTTATTTCCTTCTACCGTAACCTATGAAGGTAGTTTAACTTGTCGCAGCGAAGAAGGGTCCGATAGAGTAAAAACTTTTACCACACTATCTAATTTACAAATTTTATACAGAAAAGCAAATAGAACTGGGAAAACCTACAAAGAAAACACAATCATACTTGTCGGTATTTTTTAATAGGTGTGATAAAAAATCTTAGGTGTAAGCGCATATCACAAATATGTGGTGTCTTATTTTGTTTACACATCAGTGAGTCAGCCAAGGAAATTTTTTTTTTCTTTAAAATGCATTTTTGTTGGCTTTTTACTATTCTCTTGG